AGGAGGAGGGAGAGGAGAGAAGGGAGGGGAAGAGGTAGAGGGAGAGGTGAGGAGAGAACGGGGAGGAGGGAGGAGGGGAGGGGAGGAGGAGGAACACTAGAGAAGGAGGAGGAGGGAGAGGTAGAGGAAAAGGTAGAGGTGGGGGAAGATTGGGGATGAGGGAGGTGGGGGGGTAGAGGAAGACAAGAAAAGAAGGAGGGAGAGGGAGAGGAAACAAAAATCCTGACATTCTCGGGATGAGCTCTCGGATCGATGCAATCTTGTAGAACCTGCGGCAGTAGAGTCGGAAGTGCGGAAAACATGGCAGGGATGATGATGATGATGATGATGATGATGATGATGATGATGATGATGATGATGAGGAGGAGGAGGAGTAAGAGGAAGCAGGGGCTCGCACCAGTTTTTGCACGTCTCCCGCGCTTCTTCAGTGACATCTTTGGGACTGTTAGGACGAGCAGTCAGGGGATGGAGCAGCAGAAAACGTGAGCTGGTCGTACCAGAAATCCTCCACCCTGGTCTTCGCCTTGCCCTCCGGGGTCAAACCCTGCGTATGGGAGTGAGAAAGAGGTAGAAGTTGAGAGGAAGGAGGAGGAGAGGGAGGGGAAGATGAAAGAAAGCATGGATGGATCAATGTGAGGGAGGGAGGGAGAGGTGGCAGAAGTGGAGTGAGGGCAAAGAGGAGGGTAAAATGTCGATCTAAGGGAGAGAAGACGGAGGGAAGGGAGGGGAGGGGAGGGTGGAGAGGAAAGTATGGATGGATTGTTGTGAATGAGGGAGGAAAAGGTGGAAGAGGAGGAAGGGGAGGAAGGGGGTAGCGAAGAGGAAGGGGAGAGAGGAGGGGAAGGTGAGGAACGGAGCTCAAAAACCTTCTGCTTGATCCTCTCAAACACCAGCCGCCCGAACGTGTCCAGGATCTCAGTGACAAGGACGAACAGGGAGGGGTAGAACTGAGGCGTGCTCGAGTCGCCCAGCAGCTTCGAGCACTGGATCGCCATCTTCAGCGCCTTCACCCGCTCCTCCTTGTTCCAAGCCCTCGCCAGCTCCTCGTTCAGCTCCGTCATCTTGGTTACGTACTCCCTCGCGTTGTACCGCACCATGCTGACCTGCGAGACAAGCTTTTACTCCTCCTCCTCCTTCGCTCCTCCTCCTTCGCTCCTCGTCCCTCGCTCCTCGTCCCTCGCTCTTCGTCCCCCCTCGATCCCTCCTCCTCATATTCCTCCCTCATCATTTCTTGCCTCCTCATATCATCACTACAACCCCCCCCACCCTCCCCTCCCCCTTCTGACCTCGTTATCTCCATCATCGATCGAGTCAAGACGAGCCTTCAGTGTGTTGGCTCCTCTTCCTGCCTTGGCGACTTCCACAGACACGAAGGAGGGCATCTGAATCGTCCCAGTCGTCGTGAAGCTCTGCACCAGCTGCGTCTTGCGGACCTGCGGCGTTCGAGTGAGTGAGTGAGGGAAGCCCCAAAAAGAAGCCTCGTACATTCCAAGGGACGAACAGAGGGTATGCCTCCTCCCCCTCCTCCTCTTCCTCCTCCTTGGCTGCTTCTGCGGAGCAGGAACCGTCATCTCGCCGTGGGGAAGCACCTGACATGCTCGACAGAGCGTCTTGCTACCTGGCTTGCGGGCCTGGGAAGAAGCATGCACAGCTCGCGACAGAGGGTCTGAGGAGGAGGGTTACAGGTCCGGCTGTGGGTCGAGGATGAGGATTGCCTGTGAGAGGATCACGAGTCTCCTCGCGTGCGAAGCTCGACAGCGGATCCTTGAAGGAGGACAGAGGGTCGCTTGCCTGCTCCTCCTTCTTCTGCCAGCGCACAGTTCATGGAGGTACAGGAGGACGAGAGGGACGGACCTTGGCTTGTTCGGGGGCTTCTCTCTTCACATGGTCAAGAGGATGGGAGGAGGTGGGGGTCAAGAGGGCCTCTTGAGCTGGCAGCATCATCAACGCAGAGCATCATCATCATCAACCAAGAGCAGCATCATCAACGCAGAGCATCATCATCATCAACCAAGAGCAGCATCATCAACGCAGAGCATCATCGGCGCATGGCGTCGTCGGAGCACGGCGCTTACCTTTCAGCAGAGGTCTCAACGAAGGCTCCCATCTCGTACTCAGGCTCTCCCTATCCTCCACCATTGACCTGACAAGAAGGAGCGTTGAGATGTTGGGCAGGGAATTATGCGCTATCCTACGTAAGACCATTGCATTTACAACACCTCCTCTAGGTCAGCTCTGTCTGCTCTCTCATCCTTGCCCTCTTCTCCTTCCTCGTCTCTTGTCTCTCGTCTCTCATCGCTCCTCGCTCCTCTCTCTTCTTTCTCGTCTCTCGTCTCTCGTCTCTCCTCGCTCCTCTACCCCTCCTGCTTCTACATTGCAAGGCTTGCACTGACGCCCCATGGTCGGTGACTCAACCTATCCCTCATCCCCGCTCATAACGATCATCCCCCTCATCTACCGCATGCATCTACCGCTCATCTCATCGGAGTACCCGGACTCCGGTGCTCACTGGGTGAGTCTCACTCGGAGCAATCCGGGCCGCGCTGAGCAGTGACTCCTGCCTCAGTCCCCTGCTCAGTCCCCGGTCCCCTACCAGAGACGGTCCACACCGCACTCAGCTCAGAGGCTCGGCGATTTCCCGGCCGGAGTGACCAGTCGCGTTCAGCCGTGACGGTCCCTGCCCGAACTCTTCGGTTATCAGGCTTTCAAGATCTGGATCGAACGTTGAGAACACAAGACATAGTTGCAGGAATCACATCTGTTTCGTCTCAATTTATAGCCAACTTTAATTGTTCTCAACCTAATGAAGTTTGTGCGTGCCTTTCAAGTTGCAAGTGCTTTCCTACCTCAATGAGCGACTATCTACCACATGCAATTTCAACATTCCACCTTTGCCAAGCTCACCAACACCCTGGGGCAAAACGGCTATGCATCTAACTTGCTCTACAAACTTCGCCAGCCCTTGGAAACCTCTGTCGGGTCCATCGTATGCTTCCCATGCTTGTTTAGTCAAGGTCCATTCCTCCCTCGCTCTTAAGCTTAGCTTCCAGCCTGTTCACCTCCTCGAGTGTCTTGGCATTTTCAATAGCGGCCTGTGATGCAAGCTTTAGAAACCAAAACCATCTTGAAAGGAAGAGAAGACAAGAAAGAAAAGGCAATTCAAGCTACACAGAGATTGTCCAGCCGGGGGTTGGGTTGTTTTACCTTGATTGCGGTTATTTTCTCTTTGTTCGGCTGACTAGAGGTTACTTGAACCCCATTCATTCCATCCGCAAACAACTTTTTAGCTTCTTCCCTTTCCTGCTCAGAAGCATCAGACAAACATGCAAACAGGTTGTAAGACACACCTTGGTCTTGACCTTCTGAAAATCCAAAACCAAAAGCTTTGGGAGCAAATTAATAACATATAACCGGTAGTTCGGCTGTTTTGTAACGTTATTCTCGATGAGGCAGAGACGTCTCAGCGCAGGCAAGTTGCACAGAGGATTGAGATCTTGCAAATTCACAATGTTGTTGTTGGCCAGCATTAATGTATGGAGATTCGGCAAGCAATCCTTCAGATCATCTCCAATACGAAATATCAAGTTGTTTGATATTAACAGGGTCTTCAGCCTCTTTAGCAAAGGAAAATTCTGCAAGAAAGATCCAATTAGACCTGGTTCAACAAGGACTTGAGCCCGTTACCTCAAGTTTTCGAATCTCGTTGTCAGACAGGTCTATCGTATCGAATTGATCCTGAGTTGATCCAAGATTCTCGATTGCGGGAATCTTGTACGCCCTCAACTTAATCTCGCGTTCCCTCAGCGGATTAGTAAATTGAGGGCTGCAAATGACTAGATCGGGAGTAATACGCATTTTCCAGAGTTGTCAAGCTCACAAATGAGCTGAACCGCACACTCCGCTCTAGCTTTGCAACTGCAGTACAGCAATAGAGATTATGGACGGATTTCTATAGAGTGTAGTCGCACGGACTGTTCCACGAATCTTTCACCCTGATGCACAGATTCTGTTCGAAACAAGGGTCAGGAGTTTCATTGACAGGACGCAGCAAACTCTTTGTAGACAAATCAACAAACATCATGATAAACATCGGAACTTTTTGGGTCTACTAGGACTTCCAACATGATCGAGTACCATCAACTATCCAACCCCTTCTAAGTCTGACTAACATCAGGGCAGCAACTCAGCCCTGGCTACTTCATTCTGCATAGACAAAAATTCTTGACCTAAACACCTCACTTTAAATCAGCCTAAGAAATTTTCGCGTTATAAGATAACTGTAGCAGTTTCCTGGATCCACAGCGTAAACAAGTGAAATCTTTTTGAAATAACAGTGCTGCGCCCCACTCCATCATCCCTCCACGCTCTGTGCTGTACTACCAGGCCTGGCTACCTCACCCAGTCATACCAACAGTATCTGATCATGAAATCTTCCAGATGTTATGCACGAACACACTCACTATCATCCTCATAATTCTTTCAGCACAATTGTTACGACAAAAGGTCCATCCCTTCGGAAAGTGAACCTGCCTTGTCGAATATTCCTCGTTCTAAATCATGTCATCATGACCTCGATCGAAAACCAGCATTCAGATTTCACTGCATCCGTGCAGAATAGTCCCATATCTCCTTCACCTCCATCATCTACTCTACCAAACACAACTGACGCCCTCAACAGCCCTTCCGCCTGTTGTGCCCTTCGCGCTCTGGCCTGGTTCGTACCACTCATTGACTGAGTCTATTCGAACCCTGACATCTACATTTGTTGTTCGCACATTTGAAATCCAGATTTCTGCCATGCTCTGCTTCATTTCTTCTCCTCCCTTTGGTGTTCCCCATCTCTTCTCCCTGCATCGCCGAGGATCGCGGGCCTCTCGTGGCGGTTAACTAAAAACCTCACCCACCCTATTCTTCTAACCCCTACCCCAGTTTTTGGTTTAGTACCCGTTATTTTTCCTTCTATTACCCCATCTTTTATTAGGAGTTCGTCAACGCGTTAGAGTAGTGCCCCTTGCTCCTCTACCCCCACCACCTGAAATGGATCTACCCCACCCTACCCTGAAACAGATTTTCTCCCTTCTACCCCGGGTGGTGTGGCCAACCCTTCAAGCAGCCATGACCACCACCCCACTCCCCCGGAAAGGACCCGCTCAATTTGAACATACCCCTACCTTGCAGAGAAATTGGTACCCACCCTTGGGTAGTACCATCCCAGCACCCCCACAGACAACCGTACCACCCCTGTCTTGACCTTCAATTCTGACCGCATGATAGATGGGATCGCCGATTTTACCAAGTGGGGTGGTGTACCTACCCCTGTCTTTATCTTTGATCCCCGGTCTGGAGGGCGGGTACTTGATATTAAGTAAAAAACAGTACATGGCCTGTCAGTGTTCGGGCCGCCGTTGACCGGCGCCGGGCCGGGGGGCGTCACTGATCCGGTTCGAATCGATTTGTTACAAAATGATGCGAGTTTTATTTGATTCAAATCAGGCCAAGTTGAAGTCAAGTTCAAAGAAGGGGTGGGGGGAAGTAGTAGTGGGTAGGGGTACTCATCGGATCATTGCTGTACCCATGATTTAGTACTGTTTCAACAGTCAAAAATAGGGTAGGGTATATCATCAGGGTAGTATGGACCGAGTTGAGCTGTTAAAGACGGGGGTGGGTATTTATGGGTAGACTCCAATAAGGGGCGGAAGACGAAATGAGACTGGATACGAAGTGAGAGGAGGGGATAGTTATGAGGGAAGGTAGGGAGCGAGAGAGGAGGGAAGGGAAGGACAGAGACAAGAGCAGAGGAGAGGCGGAAAGGGACAGAGGCATGGATAGGGAGGGAGAAACTGGAGGAGGGAGGGAGGGGGGGGGGTTCAGGATATGAGGGGATCATTGTACAGCACAATGTTGTGTTTCTCACAGCAAGTGATAGAGATGAAGATGCAGCAAGTGTGAGGGCAGCAGCGAAGTCCATGAGCTATCATCCATTGCTGTCCTCCGATGTTCCACTGCATGCAGTTTCGTCTCACATCGCTGAACAATCCTCTTGGTACAGGACAGCATGGCGGTGGACCGTGAGGTCGAAGATCAAGTTGTGGTCGAAGAGACCAAGGGCAACCTCAAGGAGGTGAGTTTGAACCATCTTCCAGGCAAGTTGGTGGGCTGATACTCAATGCTAACAGGACGCCAACGGCACTAGCGTACCGGGCGCTGCTGTGAGTGAGGAGAGCGAGCTTTATGCTCTCCTGTTCACTTGCCTGTGAACCTGATGAGGAGCAGGAGACTGCGCAGGGAAAAGTCAAGATCGAGAATATCGTAAGCCTGCTGGATCCCAAGAACAATGACTCAAACCTGTATGGCGCCATGTAATGCTGTACCTGGTAACATGAAGGGCAACTGACTGGCTTCAATAGCAACAGGTGGATTTCCAAGGCACCGGTAGATGCGCGGAAGGGAGGAGAGAGGAAGGAGAGGTCTTGTTGATGGATTGCGCAGGTCTGCTCTAAGTTGCAGTCGCCGCTGAAGGAAGAGGACTTTGCTGAGGTCAAGGGCAAGCTTTCAGAAATCAGCATCGACGACGAAGGTCTTTTGCCGGCCCTCCGTTGTCACCTCTGATTTCAACTTGACAGGCTTTGCCATGAGCGACCAAGTCGTCAGGGTTCTTCAGGTACCTCCCAGTGCGAACTCGCGCGCAGCCTCGGCGTGTTGACGGGGGGGACATCCTAGGAGGAGCCTCTCAGCCTGGAGCAGGGGGAAGCATCTCAGATTGTCGGCTACGTGCAGGAGAGGTGAGGGTGGGCTCGACTCTCGGCCTCTAGCTCATGGGCATGTAGGAGCCTGCCGCAGCGGACTGTGGAGGTAGCGAAGAAGAACATACAGTCGTTGGTGTCAGTGGCGGGAGCTGCGAAGGAGAGTGTCCTGGTTGGTGCGGAGAGGGTGAGGAAGCGATTACCTCCTCTCTTCCGTCCTTCCTCCTCCCTCGTCCTCCCCTCCTCGTCCTCCTCCTTCCTCCTCCCCCCGCCTCCTTCCTCGCCCTCCCCTCCTCGTCCTCCTCCCTCCCTCATCATCATCTCCCCTTCCCTCAACCCCATCTATCCTTCTCTTTCTCCTTGTCCTTCTCTTCCTTCTCCCTCTCTTTCTCTTCCTCCTTCTCTCCCTCTTCCTCCTCCTCAGCTGCAGCATGCAGGCGTCAGAGACGATCTCGTCGCAGGCTGACATCGTCTCTCACTGGATCGTGGACGAGGATCGAAGTAAGCTGCTGGCCTTCACTGCTGCTGTTGGGTGACCGGTAGGACTCTAGTCCTCGGATCCCGCAGGCTCAAGCAGCTCACGGATGTCGTCGTTGACCCAGAAACCTCCAGCAAGGGCAGCAGGTTGAGCATCCGACATTGTTCTCTTGCCCTCTCTTCGACCTGTTCGTGGCTTCTCCTCCTCCTCCTCCTCCTCCTCCTCCTCCTCCTCCTCCTCGATACTTCTCCTATTCCTCCTCCTCCTCGTGCCATTGTTGCCGTCATCTCTTCACAGGGTTCTTGGTTCGCGTCGACTGGCAGGACTCCGAAACTTTTTCTTCGGGCCTGACGAGGTTGCCCGATCTTGACAACTTCTCCTGTCGCTGACGTTTCCTGCCTCTCTTGCCTGTACCTCCACTACCTCGTGATTTCTCTTCCTCTCTCCTCCTCTTCCTCCTCCTCCTCCTCCTCCAATTCCTCTCCTCTCTCTCCTCTCCTCCTCAACCACCAATCCCTCTACTCTCCCCCCTCCTCCTCCACAACCACCAATCCCTGTCTTCTCCCATCCTCTCCTTCCCTCTAGCCCGCGGATCCCGGAATCATCTCCTGCCACACCTTCACCACTGAAGCGGCTACTGGCGACTCCAAGGTGATGGTGGGGATGTGTACTCTTGAAGCTGACGGAGCTGCCTGGGAAGGAGGAGGACGCGAGCGGCGTCAAGAACGAGGGGAAGGCAGGAGACAGCAAGGACGATGCCGACAAGGATGCGGAGGAGGAGCAGCGGCAAGACGAGCTGGAAGTCTCAACCCTCAGGTATCGCACGCGCCCGGGTGCCTCCCTCCTCCTCCTCTCCCTCACGCCATCCCAGTGAGAACTTCTTCGAAGAGGCTGCCGCAGTAGAGCAGCAAGGGGCCAAGGAAGGGCCGATCTCGGCATCCTCGCAGGGAGTGGAGGATGATATCTCTGAAGAACAGTGATGGAGGGAGAGGAGAGGGGAGGACAGGTCCTCCCGCCTCGTCCCTATTGGTGTAAACTACAGCAGCGTTCGGCTGCCTGCTGAATGTCAGGAATGTTGTTCTCTTCATGTGAGAGCGTGTCGCGTGTTATGTGTGTATTGAGATCACAGATGTCCTTCATGTGAGTATGATGATGATTTCCCACAGAGCCAAGGTGCTCGATAAGATAATGACTGTTGACTATTGTACTTCAATTACAATCCTTCAAACTTCCTCTCTTCACAATTTCATACAATTCACATGGTTTTTACAAGACGAATCTTCCCTGCTGCAAGTTCATCGGATTCTCCTGTAACAGCATCATCAGCCCCTGCCTCGCTCCTCCTCCCAGGCTCACCGTCACTTTCTGGAACATGGACAACATGTTGTTTGAAGGCATGGAGGTTCCTTTCATCGGCTGTCCTGCTAGGAGTGCGTGAGTGAATAGGAGGAGCTTTTCCCACCTCCCCTTCCTTACCCTGCTGCTGCGACAACCACGTTAGATTGTTTCCAATTTGCTGGTTGTGCTGAAAGTTGGAAGCCATCTGCAGGTATCGATCACTTTCTTGCTTCCCCACCTCCCGACCTTCCTAAACCCCCCCCCCCCC